GATATGCGTAGTTTTCTAGCATGAAAGCTGAATATGTGATTCTTTATTTTTTTTTTTTTTTTTTCTGTTTAAAACTGAGTAGATCTAAAGGAAACAGAGTTCCTTCTGGGTGCCTGTAATAAAGTGCCAAACCTGATACACACATGAAGGTAGCGAAAGCCTTTTGGATTGTCACTGAAAATAGAAAAGGTGAACGCTGACAAGATTTCAGATTATTTTTTTTCTGGGGACTGAGGGGAACTGAAGTTAAAAATAAAGTCCTCGTATGGTCAACATGTTGGAGGAAATTCAAAGACTCTCATAAAATAAACATATTTTAAGAAGTGTTTTGAATTTCACTGTGTAATTTCTGGCCAACAGAAATTACAGTTGTATCTTTGGAGAGACATTATGTCAGATCAATGGTCATTATATGAAAAAAATAAACTGAAAACTTGATGCCTTAACCCGTTCAGCTATTAAAATGCAAACATGAAGACGATAGCTTTTCTTTAGATTCGCTACTAGAAAACTTTGCACCTCCGTGTTGCAATTATAAAATATTTGTGTTTGCTATTGCAGGAGATACGTAAATTGTTCCTTGAAAAAACACAAGTACAAAGCGTCGCACACTTTGGCAAAGGAATTTCATCAGTAGCTATTAAAAAACACAACAGTTTATGTCCCCAAAAAAGAAAGGAAATTCTCTGAAGCATGTGCATAAGCTAACGTACCCCAGCCCGAAGCATGCTGGAAATTGTTCCTAGGCTATATTTAACTGTAACCTTTGGAGTCTTAAAGTCTAAGGAGAATATCTGTTCTGCCAGGTAACGGTGATCGTGTGCATCTGTGTATACACACACATACGTCCAAACGTGCGCACGTATGCCCTTGCTTTTCTGCAGCATTATTAAGAAAAGCCGTCCATACTTCACCATGTTGTTACATGTGTCTGTCTGCTGATTATAAAATGTGTTAAACAGTATTTAAAAAACAAAAAAATGCAGAGCTGCGCTTTGATTTATTCAGCGAACAAAACATATGCTCGCTGTTCTGTTCTATGTAATTCATATGATCAATAAAATTTTCTTTAAAAAGAGCAACTTTGGCATTTAGAAGGATTATGCTGCTGAAGAAAAAAAATGTTTCACTCTTGCTATATGTAGTCAACCTCAATGCTCTTGCACTAAAATAACTTTTTGGCTCACTAACTTCTGTCTTTGTGTATTTATTATTTCTCGTCTTCAGGGTCGAAGCTGTATATTGCGGCTGTTATCCGCTGTGTCCCAAAGCCTTGGTGTACCCAGAGATATTTCCAGGTAGCTGCTCTGTTTTTTGCATATTCTTTTTGCTGAAACGTAATAACGTGATTCATGCTAAAAAATAAAGTTTGAGAATAAACTTGAGCAAAAGCAATTGTTTATTTGGCAAGCCAACATGTTAGTGTTAAAGAAAATTTTATGTGTTTTAATACATTAGACGAAGTTTATATTTGCCATCTGTTCTTTTAAGATAACACAAAAGCAAGTTTTGAAATAGCATTCTTCATTGTTAGCATACACAACCCGTAATGATAGATTTTTGTTAAAAGGTCAGTGATGCTGCAATGGTTTGCAGATTATTTTGATACACAGGAAAAAAAAAAAAGAGGCCTGAAAATCACACCAAATTATTTAAACAATTTAATTCTTAATAGTATGCAACTGCAGTATGGGATACACACTAATGTAGTACCAGTTCTTTGAAAAATCTCATCACTAAATGTATCACATATGCATTGTGTTACATTAGAATAATGTATTTTAATCACCCAAAGGAGATGTCTAAACAGCACAACTACACAGTCTTATTTAGCATTAAACATCCTTGTGAGCTGAGGTAACCTTATAAAATCATGCTTAAATAATGTAAAACACGAGGCGGCACAGAGCAATATGCATTTTTAATTAGTAAAGTGACTAATATCGAGTGTGTGCTTTGAGGTTTTTGTTTCATTAAAAATGTATCTGTTTTTCCTGCAGCTGAATATCTGTATTCTACACCTGAACAGCTTTTTAAAAGGCTTCAGAATTTCTGCAAGAGACCAGATATTGTGAGGAAACATCTCTATAAGGTAGTTGTTCAGAATAGTTTTACATGATATAATGCCATATTGAAGTACAAAGGAAAAAAAACCCTTAAAAAAACAACATTTAATTAACATACTAATGTTTAAAGGAAACATGCTAGGGAGGGATATTAGTCGTTACACTAACAAGGATTAATTAAACTAGATGCCAGTTGTATTAACCTAGGTCTTATGAAATACGTGCACTTAATGCATGCTACATGCTTTTTTTTTAATTTATTGTTTTCTAAAATGACTGTCCTTTACATTTGGACCCAAGAGGCTTATAAAAATGAACCTGGATTAATGCAACTCATTAGTTTAAAAGGAAAATAAAAGAAAGATCCTACAATTATACTAATGAGGATAAGCCTACCTTCCTATCCTAATTTAATCTTCAGTCCTCAAAAAATGCAGGTGACTGGTATCAGGTGAGATTTCTGTGCCTTTTGGAATTATTTGAATTATTTTCATAACTACGATTATCTTATCTCTTTGCTTTTTAAGGTACGTTGAACATAAAAAAAGTTTATTGGAAGCATAATTTACTGGTATTTATCACATCCTATTCTGTGCGGTTATTTGTGTAGAGAAGGTACAGTTTCAGTGGCAGACCTTCCATTCAACTTTTGATCAAGCGTTCAATGCTAGACCGACTTTCACATTTTTAAGAGGTGTATTTATACTGCCAGGAGTCACACTTTTTTTTTTTTTTTTTTTTTTTTTTTTTTAATTACACGGTTGTAGATGACGCACTGGATTTTATATTATTCCAGTGAAGAGCTATTATTACATGATGCTGCTTTTAAAAAAAGAACTGCTATTTTCTGCATGCTGATATGTAAACTTACAGCGTTTTACGACTCTTGCAGCCCTGGCTATGCCATAGGCAGGTTGGCTACGCATTACCCCTGCACAACAAAGGTGTTTCAGGTTGTAAAAAACCTGAATTAATCTGGAAGTCTTTAAAGGCTGGGGGCCGCACAGAAATCCTCCCCGTGTTATGCGTGCAAATACAAATGTGGTCTTTTTAGCATTTGCCTGGCTGTTGCTGTCCGGGTGTACTGTTAATGAGCACGTCGAGTAATCTCCTTAATTTGGGGGCTCATGCTGCCAGCAGACCTAACCTCATCTCTCCACCTTCCTCCCTCTGGGGACCAGAAAGTGTTGGGTCTTGCTGTGTGTCGTCTGCCTCTCTACCCCTCTACTTCCCGCACACATGTAGGAGGAGGAGCGAGGGTTTAGCCCACGCCTGACTTTCTTTCTGACCTAAAAATAGACATTTACATAATGATACATCAAAGATGATGTTGTTTCTGCAGGAAACAGTTAAACTTCAAGAAAAAAGGAGAGAACCAAAAATGCAATTTAACACCCAATTTCAAGCTCATTATCTTTCATTGTCTATTAACTTGGCAATGGTTCAGAAGGTAGCTCATAATAGTTTAAAATGCTGACTGAACATTTCCAGTGTTCAGCATTACTTCTTGAGTCAATAGTATCGTATAGTTGTACATGGTGGCTTCAAAGGGAAAACAGTCCTTAAACATTTACCTTAACATTTCCCGGTGCTTCAAGTTCAGCTATTAGTTGCGTTAACGTGGATCTTCTCTCTACGTGTGGATTCCCAGCTCCTAAACAGAGCCAAGGTGCACTAAAAATGGAAATAACGGTAGAGCAAATACTAATACAAAATAGCACGGGTTTAAAATGTGTGCATGAGCCCCATAAGCAACATGCTAATTTGCTTGAAGGATTTTTCTGTTTTTAAAAAAACCCCTTGGGGTGGTTTGCAGGCAGAAGCTGAAGGTGTTTATCCTGCTCCTCGTACATGGGCTTGTGCAGCCCCATCCAGATCTTCTGAGTGTTTGGACTGAATGTCTGCAACAGGTAGCCACTGAGCTGAGTGGGGGATCGTTTCAAAATGAGTAAGGCAGAGCCTAATCCAGAACCTGTGAGCACCAGAGAAAAGATCCCTGTTGTCTTTAATAGGCTTTGGATCAGCTCGGAGAATACTGTTAGAGTTGTCTTTTTGTACCTACACCCACATATGCCAAGTCTTCCTTTCACAATGAAACTACCTGCAAAACCTCCTAGAAAAATGCTAACTTAGATATGTGCTGTTAATGTCATTATAGATGGAACGATGCTTCTTTTTAGGAAGCTGAGAAGAGTGAAATCATGAAGGGTACACAGCACTTCCACTGTGTTTTCACTTTTTTCAGATCAGTATAATATTACATATACAACAGTGGAATAGAAAAGGGACCCCAGCCACAGTAGTGCGTACTAACTAGCTACTTTCTTTCAGAAACCTTCCTGACACACTCCCTGCCTGAAGTTCATAAAGTATCTGTGAAATCTCGAAAGTAAAAAAGCTTTAAAAGCAAATAGTTCTTTTCTCAACTGGTTGGGGATTCTGCTTCATACATCGGGAAGTAATCATCATCAGAAGTACCTTGGGTTATCCTTTTACATATTGTTGGGGTTTTATTACTAAGGATATCCATAATAATTAGACAGCAGTCTAATTAAACAGGCAGTTTATTCCTTCAGTTGTCCTCAGTGCTTGTGCTGACAAAGTTAGGGGCAAAAGGGAGATAAACGGCAGCGGTGGTGGTCAGGTTAGGGAGCCAGACACAGTGAATATCCCTGTGAAAAGGCACAGACCAAGACATTAAACTGCAGTAGCTGAACTCAACGGAGCAGATTCATGCTAGCAGACTTTTAAAAGTGTCCATAACGTAAGCACCTCTGAAAACCTTTCCAAATGTTGTGTTACTTACCCTGTGTATGCTCACGGCACCCAAGGCTGGCTCGTTTGCATTTCGACATTGCCTTCTACCAGTTATTAGCAGAAGATTGAGATAAGTGGAAAGCAAGCCTCATTTGTTATCAATTATTTGTTCTGTTCCAGTTTTATGGAATCAAACGTAGCTCTCTGGTTCTGGGTATTTGTGGTTGCCAAAGTAAGTGCCAGAATGAAGCAAGTAACAGCAACAGGGCATCGGTTTCCATCGGAGTACACCATAGGACCTGTCAGTGCTTGCAAGCTCCCTACCTAGTAGATTTTAAAATATAAAAAAAAATAAAATAAAATAAAATAAAATAAAATAGGGCAAAGCATTTGTTTCTGCATTATTTTCTTTAAGTTTACCTTTCAGTTCCCTCACTTCAGTTTCTTAATTTAAAACAGCATGTATAAAGAGTATACAGTGGAAAGGGACAAGAAGAGTTGCCAAAAGCCAGGCATGGAAGGAGCTGACAACTTTAAATAATCTCTCCCAGCTCTCCCAGCCCTCCCAGCTGAATGAGTGCTGGTTGACATGCTGTCAGCTTCAGTTCCTACAGAAAAATCCTACTCTCACTCATGCTTGTTTAACGGAGAAAAGAATTTGGCCCACTTTCTGACATTCATCTTCTCATTTCCATCACACTACAGAAGCTCACCTGCCTATGAAAAGACACATGGCGTGATTTTTTTTTTTTCTTTCTTACACCACTGTAGAAGGAAGTCTGCTGAATTCAAAGGGATTAAACTGCTGTAAAATCAAATTAAGATCCCAGTTAGACCGTAGACATCTGAATTGTTTCCAGTCTCGGGATTTGGCTGTATAGGGCAGTTCTAACAAAACTTTCTTTTTTTTCTTTTTTTTCCATCTCTTTTGCTCTGATTTGAGATAGAGCAGTATCTTTGGTATTTCAGGAAAACATGTAGAAGGGAAAACCGCTCTTGGTCCAGCTTTAATATTTAGGCACAGCTAGGAAAGCAGCAGGAGGCATTCTCAGCCTAAGGATACGGGGCGCTGGACACGTGAGGACGTGGGGGAGCCTCATGCCAGATGCCCCGTCAGCCACTCAGCCCTGTTGCAAGGAGCAGTAGTTGTTCGTAGTTCTTGCAGAGGCTGTGTAAGAGACAAGGACGATGCTTCTGCCCTTGTCCTTACCCACTCCCCAGCAAAACTCCACCAGAGTTTAATTTTTCCGCAGACAGGCTAACTGCCACTCTGGGTCAGCACACCATGTGTTCAATACCGTGTTTTTGATAGTGGTGAGCATTGGATATTGGAGAGAAGGCTGCCAAAGGTAGAATTACAGTATTAAAGGTTTTCTCTTTGTCTTTTAGAGTTAGAAATTGGTCCTAACCCTGGGCTTGGAGGTTTTATGATCTTTCATAATCTTCTTGTATTAAGTATAGTGAGGCTGTAGTAACAGTTCTCCGTTTGATGTTCAGGCCCTTGGAAACCCCTGTCCTTGTCTTTCACATCCTCCTATAGCAAAGCAGTTCATTATAAGTTTACAGATGACGTTAAAAGCATTTCCTCCAGTCAGCTCAGGGTTTCCCCCTCTTTCCATTGCATTGAGGGGCTCCTTGCCCTGGAGTTGGTCACCTGGAAGCATAAGCTCCCCATTCATCTTTTCTATACCATTCATTATTTTATAAGCATTTGTCAAACTTTTACATTATCGTGGTCTTCTCAGTCTCTCTTTGTGAATGTTATTCTGTGTTTATATTCTTATCTCCCATCATTCAAACCCTTTTGATGCTTGAGAGCTGTTTTTGTGCTAGTGTGATCATTATTTTATGGAGTATTCTAGGCCATGCCATCAGATTATGTGATGTGTTGTACTCTGATAATTTTCAACCTGTTCCTTATGGAGCCAAACATACTGTTTACTTTTTAACGGTGAATGTATATTGAGCAGATGTTTGTTTACAGTGTTCTCCAGATCTTTTGTCCTGAGCTGATAAAGTTAATTTAGAGCTCTATAGCATGTGCAAATAGTACAAAGATTTCCAGCGAAGCATGTTTGCAGAGAAAAAAGAAGGCATTATATTGAATTTCTGCTTCTGCCTGATTAGCATTAGGTGCAGGTCAGAAGGAGGTTGGAAGCACAAGTGGGAAACTTGTATTTGCATCTTGAGATGCTCGCTTTCCAGTGAGCATAATTTAAAATGGCTTCAGGGATGGTCTGGATCTGCTTCTCAGAGCCTGTATGGGAAGGTTACAGCAGCCTGGGAACTCTAATATGCAGCATGCACTGTCCATGCTCTCCCATCTCGGTGTCAGTTAAGCGTGGGATCCTAAGTAAAATGCATATAACATAAGGATTTCTTATGTGAAAGAAAACTTTGGTTACTTATTTAGAACATAGAATCGTAGAGTAATTTAGGAAGGAACCTCTGGAGGTCTGCTGGGCAGCCTCTGCTCAAAGCAGGGCTAGCTTCAAAGTAGGAATTAACTTCAGAGTTGGATTAAGTTGCTGAGCATCACACACAGGTGAGGCTGAAGTCTTGACATTTTTCATTGCCATATGTATGGCTCATACAGGTGAAATCCAGCTAGCTTAGGAGGTTTGCGTGGGCGAGAAGATCTGCTGAACCGCGGGACACAATTTAAGCGTTTTGGGTCAACCTTAGGCCTTCATGCAGGGTGTGGGACTGGAAGGAGCTGTGGCAGAGTGAGCTCTGCTAGCTAGTGTGGATCCTCACTGTGGAAGAAATGAGCTGGCAGGTAGGCTGTTGAACTTACCTGCTGGGTCATTCTAGGATCCAGCCATGCATATATAGACTTAATATGTGTCTATGTAGACATATATATAAATATGCATATAGATGTATGTATGTGGCCTGCACCTGAACTTCTCCCAGGGCTTGTCTTGCTCTTGGCTCTCTGAGGTATATATCTAGGAGATTTCAGCTCTCTGAAAATGCTGGCTGCATTGCAGAGCAGGAAGAAAGCGTTCATTAAGGAAGCAGTTATGTGTGCATCTTTCAGCATAAACACCAGGACTTTGAACTTTTTATTATAATAATGTTAGAGAGCTTCCACTTTAGTTTCAGAAAGTAAATGAAAACCGGCAGATGAACCATGGCTGCTGCAAAATGGTAGGTGGAGAAATGGGTCAAACGAAATATGATGGGCTTTGAGAAAAAGGTTGCAAAAAGCATGAAGACTTATTTTTTTTTTCAGTAAAATATATTCAAATTACCTTGAGAAAGAAAGCCTGAAACTGGTTTCCTACTGTTGTAGTTGTTTGGTGAACAATCCTGTGCGAGGTACCCACCAGGGTATCTTGCATAAATTCACATCCAACATTTCATTGTTTTTTGTTTAAAGACAGAAAGAATGAAATGAGGTTTAAAAGACCGATATATGAAACTTCAGAACAGGACAGTTCAGGGATTTACTGTTACTCTACTGAGGAGTATTATATAGCTCTGACTCGGGCCTCGCAGTGCACCCAGTCCATGTAAACCAATGCTGTTTTGATGGTGGTTTCCAAAGGCGCTTGGAGTTTGAAAGTGGAGCTCCAAAAGTAATTACTGCAAGCTGCTTTCCACCTTGATTCTTCCCCAATACTCGCTTACAGAGGGAAGGAGCTGGGTCACAGAGTAAAGCTGACCCAAAACAAATTGGCTCTGTAAATCACTCTGCTGTCTTGCCTGCCAAATCTCAGATTTTGTTCTATGTCTCTATTTCTTTATTTTGCTAAGGTAGTTTTTTAAGAAGCGTGCAAAATGTACAGCAAATCAGTACTGTCTGCTTGAACTGCAGCTGTCCTAAACAGCAGGTTTGAATGGATGAACAGTCCTTATTAAATTCTAAAGATTAACTCTGAAGTCTAATGATGGCAGAGTAGGTATTAATTGCTTCGCTTCTGATCTCAGGATACATGAAACAAATAGGTTGATTATTTTATAAAAGATATTGTACTGCTACTGATATCTTGTTTTGCTGCCTGTTCTTCGTGGGGAGATCTTGCTTTATGTGAAAACTTCGCTTCCCATGATCTCTGCTCATTTAAGAACTGTTGACCGAATCACTATTCCGTGAAAAAATGAATGCCCAGACCTTTGCAGAGTTACCGCTCCCCCCCCAAAAAAAAAAAAAAAAAAAAAAAAAAAAAAAATTGAATTACTTCACCCCAAGGTTTCTCTAAGATAAAGCCCAGAAGCCAGACTGATGACGGGCAAGCAGGAGAATTAGGCCCTCGCTCCTGCTGGGTCGTGGTTCTGCCGTGTCAGAGGGTGCGAGGGGCAGGTCGGTCCCCGCGGGTGCTCAGTCCTCGGCATGTCCACCAGGACAGGCAGTAAAGCAGAAGGACGGGCGATGGTGCTCGTCCAGGAGCAAATAACCTGGGGCAGCTGACCAGCTTACCCATCTTTAAAAAAACAAAAACCAAAAAACAAAAAACCAAACAAACAAAACAAAACAAAAAAAAAAAAACAAAACAAAACAAAACAAAACAAAACAGCAGAATTCACCCCGTTTACAAATAAGGCTGCGTAAGTGTTCTCTGACCAACTGGCTTCCACCCCTCCTGAAATCCCGGGTGTTGCAGAGCGTTTCGGCACAGAGCCACGCTCCTTCCCGCGCGAGAGACGTCCCTCCCGTGTCCCAGCACCTAACGCGGCGGCGTGCGCTTTTCTCTTCTGCTTCCTCGTAGGGCGAGACGGCTGGGTTTTCTTGGGCAGCGCTCGGCGGTAAATTCAGGTCTCTGCTCGCAGCAGAACCGAGGGAAGATTTGTGACAGATGGGGCTAAGTCACAAACTTGCAGCCTCAGGCAGAATTGTGGAAGTTTCCAGAGTGTGCCCATATTTACCTGATCAGAGAGAAAAGAAAATCTGCAGAGGAAGCCGAGCCTGGCTGCTTGTCATAGCTGACACAGAGCCATCTGCCACAAACCTGTGGCGGCTTCAGATCTCCAATCCCTGCCACCACCCCAGCTCAAATTAAATACAGATTCTTAGAGACGTTATGATGGTTACACATGTCCTCGGCATCACATGCAGGAGACTGTTCAAAAAAAATATGTGGCCTGTTGTGTAACCGCACTCATGTATCCCATATGTGGTGCCACATTGAATTTCCGGTTGAATCTGTTTTTATCCTTTGTACTGGATGACATGGTGCCTGAATTCTTTCTTTTCGCCGACACGATGGCAGCCAAGCTGCAGCTTCAAACGCTCACACTTGGCTGAGTTTCTACCTAGGTTGCCAGGTTATCATTGGAGCCTTATTGTGTCCTCAAAGGGCCACAGGGCCTGAAAGGAGGATCCGAATGCTGCTGGACTAATTGGGCAGCCATCTCCGGGTTGTTTGGAGGCAAAGGGCTGCTCTAGCACTTTTTTTTCTTTTTTTTTTTTTTTTTTTTTTTTTTCTGCAAATTAATGACTCTCTGGCACAGGGGTTTTTAAGTGAAGGTATTAATAAGGGGTCTGGCAGGTAATCCCATGATTCGTGGAGTTACATTTGCATTTAATTAATCTTAAAGAAAGCTGAAAGATAAACAGCTGTAATTCAAACTAGCATGGGAAATATGCTACATGGTGCCATCTATCCGATAAAATGAAAGCCGAGACACTTGTTTTATTTCTCTCAAGGATGGAGAACAAACAGATAACAGTCAAAATACTTCCAATAAAAACCAGTAGTTTAAATGTAACGGCAGTTCATCAAGAATCTTTGCATCCAGTTACAGATACAGTCTTTTAAAGATAAATCACTTATGATTCCAGCAGTCAAGCTGCTATATTTGTTGATGTAAAATGTTTTGAAGATGTAGATTGTACAATAAATTTTTAATAAAGTGCCCACTGCAATTTTTAATTAGCATATCTCATTCATGTATAAGTGTGTACATCTATCTGTATGTTTATCACTATGCATATCCTTGTGTCAGAGTCAATGAATGCAATTGTGTCTTTATCTGATGAAGTAGAATCTGTTTTGCAAGTGATAATAAAACGTTACGACAATCCCAAGATTTTCAACTCTGCTCTGGGAAGAAGCAAGAAGAGGGCTCTGGGTAAGGCGTTGCGGTGTGAAGCCTGCTAAGACCTCTCTCGGCGGACAGCTCTGGTTTCAGCTTCCCTCGCGTCAGGCAGGGTAGCTGCTCTCCCCATCCGGGCAGGCTGTCTCCCAGCAGCATCGTTCCTTTGCCCGAGCTCCATCCACAGCAGGTGAAAGACGCGGGCAGGTCCCCTCCGCACAGAGCCACGTCCCTTCGTGCCTTCCGACGCCGTCCAGATGCTAAAATGTCCTTTTTCAGTGCGAGAGAGAACATGCGGTACCTCTCTTTAAAATTACTCCATTAAGCAATCAAAACACCCGAGGGAGATCCAACGGTAAGTGTTCGGATATTTTCCTAGCACTGCAGAGTTGTAATTTTGCAGTAATCATCTGTCTTCCGTGCTGGTTCCTCCTCGTTTCTGCTCAACCAAAGCCCAGCTTGGGGTCTGGGTGTTTAATGTGGTTGAGTAGAAGTGATCTTCTGAAAATAGAGGGCGTGGGTGTGGTGGTCGTGCTGGGTAGAGCCAACGGGGCTACCTTGCACTTCTTACTGGAGTGCAGCATAGATGTTCACCAGTGTTGTCACACCTCGCCCCAGTAAGAACAAATTAGAAATTTTGGTTTGTCCTTACCGATGGGGAAACTGAGGCACGGTGCAATCGGAGCGTATCGCTTCAGCTTTCGCAGTGAGTCATTCTCCAAACCGATAAAAGGGAAAGAGGAGGTGCTGTAAGGTTGTGCTAGGGCTTGTGGTAAACAAACTCGATACACCAAAGCTCTGTGGTTTCGAGCTGAAGACTCCTGCTCTCCTCAGCACACACCCTGGCCCGGCCCACGACCGAAGGAGGTCTCACCCCGCTCCTTGGCGAGGTGGTGCTCAGCCTTGCTTTGCTCGCTGATTAGTGATGCTTCAACCACACCCAGCTCAGCCTGGTAAGCCAGCCTTCATCTTGATGGAAAATTTTCCCTCCGAGTTACGAACCCTTACAAGTAACATTTTATAATAGAAACACTGTGAGAACTTTAATAGCAGGGAAATAAATAGCAATGCTGCATTATCTTCTGATATTTCTTTACGTTCTTAGTGAAGACACACAGCTGCCCTAGAGCAAGGATGAAAATGTCCTTACCACACCTCCTGGGACTTTCAGGCTGGCCTCACGTCGGGGCCTGTTTGGAGGGTGAGGTAGGACTTTCCAGGTAGTCGGAGGCGATATTTCCCCCGGGGGAATCTTGCCCCCACCAGTCCCCTGTAGACAGAAACAACCTGAGGAGTTTTGCCTCGCAGTTTCTGAAGATCAGAGACAGGCTGCTCCGTGCTGCTTCATTTAAAGCCTTCACTTCAAAAGGTCAGGGAGACAAATTGGGATCTCGATCCCGTTGTTCCTACACTCATGAGTAAGCGGTGAGTGCAGGGACCTAACTTGCTAGTAAAATGACAGAACTGGCCCTTGCCTTCCTTTCACATTTATTGATGCTTCACCTGCATTGGCACAGCAACTGCAAGCACTTTGATGCAAGTTTCGGCTCGGAGTTAAAGCCGGGTGGGTTTTCCTGACTCCTGCCAGACTCACCAGGCAGCTCCTTGCCTTCCGCATCAATAACAGGCCAGGCACCTAATCCTACAATCCTTTTGTCTTAGTATTTGAGATCACAGGAAACACAGGTTTATTCCACATGAGAATTGTCTTTTCCCGTATAATAGAAAAGAAAATCCTAAAATAACTAGGGAATTTTGTAGCGAACCGTTTCCAGCATTCCTAGCCCCACGCCGGTCGGGCTGCAGGCACCGCGAGGGGCCGGGGCACGGACCAGCTCCCATCCGTGTTTGCAGCATCGAGACCTCTGACTTAGCTCAAAGCTGTTCTGAATTAGCAGGCTAGATTTTTCTAATTGCCTTTTTAAAGACCGAGCCAGCAGTTCATTAGAAATCGTGGAGCAAATTCTGCTTCTCTATTACACCAATATAAATCTTGAATGAATTTATCTCAGGATAACTGGGAGGGTAGAATGTACCTCCCATATTGTTCCACAGATTATTAAAAGTTAAAGGGCCTTGAAAATTAAATTCACCTTTCCCCATTCAAGCTGTTTACTCTTTGTTTTTTATTCCAGTAAGGACAGTTGAAATGAATTAGCCAGTCTCATTTCTGTTCATAGTCACTTTTAAGTTTGGTTCTCATGTACTGGCCCAAGACTAGTTTGTGTGGAAAAGACCAGAGGGCATTTTCTTTCAAACAAATTGTTTTCATGGGAATAATTTCCTAGAGAATTATATTAAAACCTTTCCATGAATCCTCGATTTTGCAAAAAATATTTTCCTCATATATCCTTGATTTGGGGGACTTTGCAATTCTTTATTTGCAGATATAAATGAGCACCTTAATGAAAGTCCTTGAGAATTTTACCCTCTAATAGGCTAACCTTACTTAACTGAAATACTTTTTAAATGGTTCAGTCTGGTAAGTGAGGCTTTGTCTTACAGGAAAATTTTGCCTCTGAGTTATGAACCCTTGCAAATAAGGTTTTATAATAGAAACACTGTCAGAACTTTAATTATAGGGTAATAAATAGCAATGCTGCATTATCTACTGGTATTTCTTTACATTCTTAGCGAATATACACAGCTGTTGCTGGAAACTGATAATCAAGTGCTATATAACTGCGGTAGAACTTAGCACCCACCCTCCGTGGAAGCGGCAGCGGCGGCAGCAGCGAGCGCTTAGCGGGGAGGCGGCAGCGGGATGCGGGAGCGCAGGGATGCGGGACGTGGGAGCACAGGGAAGAGGGAGCACGGGGAGGGGGTGGGAGCGGGAGCATGGGGGTGCAGGAGCGCAGGGGTGTGGGATGCGGGAGCGCAGGGATGGGGGAGCACAGGGATGCGGGAGCACAGGGATGCAGGAGCACAGGGATGCAAGAGCACAGGGATGCAGGAGCGCAGGGATGTGGAAGCACAGGGATGCAGGAGCGCAGGGATGCAGGAGCACAGGGATGCAGGAGCACAGGGCTGCGGGAGCACAGGGATGTGGAAGCGCAGGGATGTGGAAGCGCACGGCTGCGGGATATGGGAGCACGGGGAAGAAGGAGCGCAGGGATGCGGCTGCACGACGCGGGGAGCAGCAGCAGCTGCCCGGCGGGAGCCGGCTCAGGGAGTTGCCCAAAGCACATCTGACACAGGGGGTGGGGGGGGAACGTGGACGTCCCACCCGGGGACAAGGCTTTTCCCATCCCGGCGAGGCCAAAAAAGCAGGAGGTGGGGGGCAGAGAAGGCAAGAAGGTTAAGCAAGGCCAACGGCAGCTAAAACGAAAATTATCACCGCAATAATAATGGTAAAGGCGAGGAGGGTGCAGCGGACGCTCCGGAGCTGGGGGTTCCCCCCACGGCCCCCCGCCTCGCTCCACGGCCGGCGATGCTCCGCGGAGCGGCAGCTTGCTGCCCCCCGGCCGCCGACTTGGGGGAGGAAGCAGGGTGCCCACCACTTATTTATTGATCATGAAAGTGTTATTTTGAAAATGAGATTCTTTGGTAACATTTATATTTGCAGGCGGCAAAGAGAAAAAGATTTCCCCCCCCTACCCTCGCCCTGCGGTGGCCTTTCCGCGGGTGCGGAGCAGCAGCCCGGGGTGGGCAGCCTTTCCCTTTCCCCCAGCCCCGCCGGCTCCAGCTCTCCTACGGTTTGGGTGTCTGCGCTCCAGAAAAAAAAAAAAAAAAAAAAAAAAAAAAAAAAAAAAAAAAAAAAACCCAAAAAAACCCCACCAAACCCCAA